AAGAGGAAACAGTTTGAATCAATTGGATCAACCAGCAGATGTGATTTTTGATGAACAAAATAATTCAATCATCATTGCTGATTATGGAAATCGAAGAGTAATGCGATGGTTTTTGAACACAAATCACTCGGAGATTCTTATTGACAATATTAGGTGTTGGCGGTTAACAATGGATAAATTTGGATTTGTTTATGTTTCTGATTTGGAGAAACATGAAGTGAGAAGATGGAAAATGGGAGAAAAGGGTGAAGGAACATTAGTTGCTGGTGGAAATGGAAAAGGAGATCAACTCAATCAGTTCGGCTGTCCAAATTTTCTGTTTGTCAATGGCGAACAATCGATTTATATTTCAGATCGGGATAATCATCGTGTGATGAAATGGAGAAAAGATGCGCAGGAAGGAATTGTTGTTGCTGGTGGAAATGGATGCGGAGACAATCTGAATCAATTGAATCATCCTCAAGGAATCATTGTCGATCATGAGGGTCAAATTTATGTTGCAGATTGTCAGAATTATCGAATAATGCGATGGTGTGAAGGAGATGAAGAAGGTGAAATAATTGTTGGTGGAAATGGACTAGGAGATGAACCTAATCAATTGTCTTGTCCTTTTGGTTTATCATTTGATGGTGAAGGAAATCTTTATGTTGGTGATCATGAAAATAATCGAATTCAACGATTTGATTTGATCATTTGAAAAAAGAAAAATTTTATTTTGAATTTCAAAATCAAAATAAAATGGAATTCGAAATGAAAAACGAAGTTTAAAGAAAAGTTTTTGAGAAAATTTTGTTTTTGTTTTCTTTCGAATAAAAAAAGAAAATTCGCTCGATTTTTCAAATGAATATTTTATAGAAAATCATTTGAAAATAAAATTCAACACAAAAGAGAAATTCTTTCATAGAAAGATGTTTTTTTTTGGAAATAACACGATGATCGTTGACTCGAACGAGATTTCGAAATTCATAAATGAAGAATTTCTTCATCTTCAAAAAAAGATTTTTAATGGCAAAAACAAGATTAATTTCAACCAAAAATACAATTAACATTGGAAATATTTGTTAAAGAAAATTTCTGATGAATTTATTAACAATTAAAAAGAAAAGAAATCTTTTCTCAAAATAAGTTTTTCATATGTTTATGAAGAAAGTTCCAAAGTGAACAAGAAATTCTCTTTTCGTTTCGTATTGCGGCTTGTCCAAGCGTAACTGTGTGACACTTTGACGCGCTATTTTATCAATATCCCAACAACTAGAAACGCTAGAGAGTTCGTTCAAACGTTATTCGACGCAGCTTGGCATACTCTATGTTCACTGCAAAGATGAAAAGTTTCCATCACTCGCTCGAATTTCTAGAACGATTATGAGATCACATAACGGCGTGACATAAACAGACCCTCAAGCTCGAGTACTTATAATTAATCCGTGATTTCCTGCCAAACTGTAAGTGGAAAT